ATTAAATCATGGAAAAGCAAGAAATTAATACTTTACCTTGTGATAGTAAAAAATTTAAAATTTTAATAAAAAAGATATAAGTAAAGATAAAAAACTTATTCAAACATAATGATTTATGGAATATGAGATTATGATTATCTTTTCTCGTATCTACTTTACATATTCTTCAAGCACCAGATGGATTATAATTTCAAGATGAGAGAGAGAGAAAGTCAGTTGGAATTATAACTAACGGTATTGGAGAAAAATAGATAAAGTAGATATAAAAAAGATAGAATATCATATCCCATGATTTATATTTTTAATTTAAATCAACAAATCAATCGAATTAAATTAAGGGTTTGATGATTGTCATTTTAAATGACATAAGTTATGTCATTTTAGGAGAGAGATAGACATAGAAAAATGAAAATCATGGAGAGAGAAAGTGGATGGTTTTTTTTTTAATTTAAAATTTAAATAAAAAAATTTATGTGTCTATCAGAGTGTTATGTCATTTAAAATGACAAACACTTTTTCCTTAAATTAATCCGTAAATAATCCGATCAATAACCCTATGAAAATTTGGTTATCAGGGCTTTACTGTGTGGAGATTAAAAACTTTGTATGCCATACTAACTAGGGGTGTGCAAAAAAACTGGTTCACTTGCCCTGCCCTTGATCCGACCTTGACCCAACCCATAAATACCCATATTTTTTGAACTGGTTTAAATACTGATCCATTTTTATTTGGGTCAGTTTTAGACCTGACTCGTTTTAATATTGACCCATACCCATTATGTGAAAAAAAATAAATCACAATTACATTAAAGAAAAGTTTTAACGTAAAACAATTACGTCAAAATTTTTTATGGAAAATATTTTCATAAAAATATTCGCAAAAATTTTTGACGAAAAATATTTTCATCAAAATTTGTGACTAAAAACATATCGGGAAAAAAATTTGACGGAATATTTTTTTTGTCAAATTTTTTTACGGAATCTAAATTTCGTCAAAATATCTCACAAAAAAATATATTCATAAAAACTTTCGACGAAACACATTTTCATCGAAATTCTTTGATGGAAAAAAATTTCATCAAAATTCTTTACAGATTTCAAATTTCGGCGAAAGTTTTCGACGGAAACATTTTCGTTAAACTTTTTGACAAAAAAAAATTTCGTCGAAATTTTTAGCGAAACACATCTCTAAAAAAAAATTTCGATTAAATATTTTCGTCAAGTTTTTTGATAAAGAATATATCCATCCAAATTTTCAACGGAACACATTTCTGTAAAAAAAATTCGTAAAATTTTTTGACAAAAATATTTCGATAAGAAATTTTGAACGAAAAAATATTTTGTCTAAATTCTTTAGAGAATCTAAATTTCGTCGAAAGTTTCAAATGAAACATTTTCCTCAAAACAATTTCCATTAAAAATTTCGACGAAACATATTTCTATCAAAAAATTTCATTAAAATTCTTTACAGATTTCAAATTTCGGCGAAAGTTTTTGACGGAAATATTTTCGTCATCAAAAAATTTCGACGGCAAAAAATTTCATCAAAATTCTTTACAGATTTCAAATTTTGGCGAAAGTTTTCGACGGAAACATTTTCGTCATCAAAAAATTTTGACGGCAAAAAATTTCATCAAAATTCTTTACAGATTTCTAATTTCCCCGAAAATTTTCGACGGAAATATTTTCTTCATCAAAAATTTTTGACGGTAAAAAATTTCATCAAAATTCTTAACAGATTTCAAATTTTGGCGAAAGTTTTCGACGGAAACATTTTCGTTATCAAAAAATTTTGACGAAAAAAAATTTCGACGGCAAAAAAATTCATCAAAATTCTTTACAGATTTCAAATTTCGGCAAAAGTTTTCGACGAAAAAATTTTCGTTAAATTTTTTGACAAAAAAAATTTCGTCGAAATTTTTAGCGAAACACATTTCCATCGAAAATTTTCAACTAAATATTTTCGTAAAAAATTTCCATCAAAATTTTCAACGAAACACATTTCTATAAATAAATTCTGTAATTTTTTTTGACAAAAAAAACATTTTGACGAAAAAAATCTTCTGTCAAAATTCTTTAGAGAATCTAAATTTCATCGAAAGTTTCAAATGAAACATTTCCCTCGAAATAATTTTCGTCAAGACACATTCCCATCGAAATTTTGAACGAAAAACATTCCGTCAAATTTTTTGACAAATTTTTTTTTCGTTTAAAACATTTGATGGAAGAAATCATTTTCGTCAAAACTGTTGACCGAAACTAAATTTCAATAGAAATTTTTTTTTTGTAAAAATTTCGACGAAAAAATAATTTTGTGACGAAATTTTCGTCTTTTGCAACGTAAAAATTGCGACAAAATTTTGTGAGAAAACCAAGTCAAAAACGGGTCAGGTCAGATTTGACCCAGTTCAGAAACCAAGTCAGACTCACTTCAGTAACAAATCAGGTCAGATCCAAACTGGTTCTGAACTAGTTCAACAAAATCTAATCCAAGTCAGACCTGACTTGGATCAAATTAAAGCGGGTCGGGTCAAAATACCTGACCTATAAAAACCAAGTTTGGTCGAGTCGGAAAAACACCTGACCCGACCTGACCCATGCACAACCCTAATACTAACCAATCAGCCCAACCCGTTTTGTGCTTATGGGCTTCCATGCGGATCAACTTGAACTGACCCATTCACATTGCTGAAATCATTTTGGATAGATCTTTCAAGTAAATTCAGGAAATTGATGGGCTAATTGTTATCACTTTTTATCATTTTGCTTTATTAGTTTAACTATTTAAGTGTCATATAGTAAGTTACTTAAAAGATAAAATAGATTTAATCTCCTGAAATGTATGCATTTTTCAAAATATCCTATTACAGCTTTTTTTTATTACTTAACCCTCATAAATTTATGTTTACATTGAAAACATTTAGTTAAGTCAATTAGATCGATCGAACATACAGCATGCACATACTAGTAGGGATGTGTAAAATAATCAAAAATTTAAACCGAACTATAAATCGAACCGCACTTAAAATAACCGATTTTTAAAAATCAGTTTATGAACCGAACCGATTTTTAAAGAACCGGTTCATGAACCGAACTAGTTTTAAAAATCAGTTCAAGAACCGTATTGAGAACCGACCCATTTAATCATATCTGAAAACCTGAACCATATTGAACCGATTATGCTATTCCACTTGTGAAAAATTCAACACGTGTAGATGTTGTCACTGCACTGATTTACAAGTGTGCAGTTTCTGCTTTGGGGTTAACTTTCAAGACAACATCGTTCCGCATTGCTGTTAACCTCGGCAAGAGAATGTTCCTCCACTACATGAGAAGTGCATTGGGAACATGGTTTGGTTCGTGTTTGTATTTAACCCGTTCATTGATAAGAGGGAAACATAACTACATGACTTGGTGAGCAAAATGAAAGAATGGTTATATGAGTTTTGTGAAATATGTGCTAAAAAGTTTGGAGGGAAGGACTTGTCATTCATCTATGAGTATCTAAAACAAGCTACCTCAGCTCCTTCAGAGCTTTGTGATTCTGATGAGGAGAATCAAACTTTACTTTGTTATGGAAGCTGGTGCAAATTCCTAATGTACAAAGTAGATTTTGGGTGGGGGAAACCAGTATGGGTGACAACTAGTGGTTATCCTATGAAAATTGGTTCGAATTATTAAAAAAAAAAAATGGTTCAAAACCAGATTGAAAATGGTTCTGGTTTAAAACTCTTTTAAAACCAGTTAATAATTGGTTTGGATCGAACCGGTTCGATTTTAAAAAAAAAGTTTGGTTCAAAGAACCAAACTAGTTTAAATCAGTTTGGTTCGGTTCTTTAAAAAATCTAGTTTAGGTCGACTCATAGTCATCCCTACATGCCAGACACTCAAGTCTAGTTTTTTTTTTTTTTTTTTTTATCACTTATGCAGTTTAATTTTAACTATGTAGAGGTTAAATTTTGTTTAAATTAACTAAAAAGATAACATTGTTTTCTTTATTATTTATTTGAAGTAAAGTTTTTACTGTGAACAAAATTATAAGATGGTTAGGTGATAACATAAAATTTTCATTGGGGTAAGCTTTCAGAGAGTTCGTGGAGTCAAATGTATAGTTTGTGATCCTCATAGCTGTGAGGTTTTGGTCTTACAATTTTTTGCTTAGAAACATGTCCCTGTGATTTCACACTATTAAGATTTTAGCCCATACAGACCAATACCTTAACAAGTTAAATTACAAGGACCGATTCATCATGAGAAATAAGAATTATTTACTTTCAATGAAACAAATTATATAGAGTAAAATTTAAATAATTAAAAAATAGGACTTGATATTCAATGATAAGGACTAAAAAATAAATTAAAAAAATAAGGGAATTAAAGTCCCAAAATATTTTTATAGGGATGAAAACCTAAATTAGTGAAAACTATAGGGAAAAAATTTACTTTTGTACCTAATATCAAATTAATTCAAATTAAAGGTAATCTAAACCTGAAATTTAATTCATAATCAATTCAAATATTAGGTAATATAAACCTAATATTTTATTTTAAAAAAGTGAATTAGAAAATATAAATAATAATGATGATAAGTCGTTACTGTTGGCGTGACAGTCTGCTAAATTTTTTTGCCAAGTGTGGCAAAATGGTCACTCTTCCACAATAATGATATCTATGTAGAAGATAATAAAGGAAAATAGTAAAGTAATGTTCAATTGGAACCTTATACATACGATGTTGTATATGATTCATGCATGATTATTTGAGAATTTATTTATATTGGTGTGCATCCTTAGTCTAATGGCCTAGGATGTAGTAATCTGATGTGTTATTAAGTTTGAGTGATCAAGCGAGGCATAAAGAAATATGTTTATTCTGCATTCAGAATAACAAAAATAATTCAGACCATTCATAATAATCCCTTATTTTTATTCTGCATGATTAGATAACTTCATACATATATCATCTACAAAGGCATTGGAGACTCAATGCTGACTGTATCGTTATCTTTCACAAGTAAGGAGCGACTGAAGTAATGGACCAGCATCCTTCACTGCCTGTTCCAGTTGACCCCTTTGAGGCAATGCTCTTCCTTTTGCAAGAGATTCAATAACACTAGTGGCAGGATCAGGCTTTGGCTCTTCAGAAGGGACCATCATATGCGGATTGATATAAACATTAACGTTGTTATTGTAGTCAACTTCAATGATATTATTATTGTTTGACAACTCTCGAGTAGAAATAGAGGAATCAATTCGAACTGGGAAATCATCATGTGACTGTGAGGCTTGAGTAGTAGGCAACATGATCTTGTTCATTAGTTCCTGCAGCTGAGATCTTGCTTCATCCCTCTCCTCATATACAATATTCAGCACATTGAACAGTTCCATGTTCGCATTCTTCTGAATTTCAAGTTCATGTGTCACATCTGCAAGCTTCTTCCTCAACTCGATTGCACTCTGGAAAATCAAACAACTATGTTATTCTGAAATTTGAAAATTTTGTGCTTATAAGGAATCAAGGAATTACCGCTTCTAAATGCAGTCATATATATATAAACTGATCATTTATTTGCAATACACGTAAAGTCATAGAACACATATAATAAATTAAAAAAACACTTTCAAAGCAAAAAGATGTAATTTTTGTTAGAAAAAACTAATCCAAACAGCATCTATACAACTTATGTAGCACCGATACGACACGCAACACGTGACACGACACGACACTCCGACACGTCAATCCTAAAAAATTATGGATTTCGACACGTTGGGACACGTTTTAATATTAAATAATATTTTTAATTTATATAGTGTCTATTTCATTTAATATTTAATAATTTAACAAAAAAATAAAACTAAATAATAATACCCATCAACATGTTATAAAGATGGAAGCTTTAATAAAAAAATAAGAACTGGGATGAGAGAGATATAATATCAGATAGAGAGATCAAATCATATTAGAGAGAGATCAGAGAGAAGAAGATACAACAAGAGCGTGATAAGAATTGACAACAATAATGCTGAGATGATCTCTTATCTACTTAAGGGGAAAAAAGACAAAAAGATAAAATTGATATGATCAGGTGGAAGCTTTATTAATATATTTTAACTTTTAAAAAAACTAAATTTTTTTAAAAAAAATTTAAAAAAAATTTAAAAAAAATTTACGAAAATGTCATTTGACCGTGTCGGACACGGTCAAATTCGCGTGTCGGAATAGTCAACGTGTCGGAAAAAGTCAACCGCGTGTCCGACATCGTGTCGAAACGTGTCGCCATGTCGAAGCGCGTCGGACCCGACTCTTCCTATTTTTAGAAGTGTCCGTGCTTCCTTGTATACAACCTTAACGATAGTAATCCAAACAGCATCTATACAGAAGATCATGCAGAGATTCCCAAAGGCATGAGTCAGTCATTACTCATTACATATATAATACATGCATCAGATTCAATAATGTTTCAAAGTTTGGAAGATCAAATCAGTCCCAAACAAAACCCTAGGGGGAAATTAGACGGGCTGTTTTAATTGAAAAATTCTCTCATATCTCAAAATTAAATAAAAATCATAGTTTTTTTTAACAAAAAATAGCAATGAGATGGGTAAATGGAACCAAGAATCAAGCCAATATTCTTGAAGAGTAAAAGGTCACATTAAGTTCTCTTTAAGAAAAAATTAGTATCATTTATAAGTAATAATTGTCCAAAATTTAATATAACGGAAGACAAATTAGGGGGAAATGGGGGAAAAACAATGAAATATGGGAACCCAGTTGAAGTACCAAAAATGACATCGGGCCCTGGAAATTCATGCAAAGGAAATAACTTTGACATCAAATGATGATAGTTCAGTTGACGAATGAGAGGGGATGAGAGCATGTGTTTGATCATCTCCAGTACCATCTTTAGGATGGATTTAAAATCATAATCCTAGATCTGCCCCAAACAGGATTAGCTCCTGTGGAGCCTGTGATTTATACAAAAAAAAAAAAAAAAGTAAATATCTTTGACTCTTTTCACACCATCTCATTCATACAGAGGGTCAAATCAACTATCTAGAAGAGAAACGCATCAAGAAAAAATAGTATCTATGATGACAATCACTTTAATATAGAAAATTTTACAACTTTGGCATGAAAACAATTAAAGCATGTGTATTAAATGTACACACAAATTAGCAGCCATTTTCCGAGATAAAAAGCAATATAGAAGAATCGATTATGAGTAAAAGAAATGAATGGAGAAGAAGGCAATGAATCGGCTGGTGTATTAAACCGACCAACTTAATTCTAGTATGAGCGAAAAGATGCAGGCAATAACCCACCAACTGGTACATGTTGAACACTGAATCCATGCCTTCCACACTTTTCACCTACGTACTATTGTAAAAAGCAAAGGAAGAAAAGATTAATAGAGTGATTATCAATCTAAGTTTTGGCTAGGGTGATTAAACAACCGGGTACCACCTGTTATTTATAGAAAAAATGAAATACGGAAAGAAAGTGTGGTAAGGCATGGTCTGATATCAAAAATCCAGAGAACCCAAGCCCATATAAACGAAAATCAAGCAATTCGAAAATCTTCCTAATTTGGTGTTCCCGTTTGAAAATCCTTGAAATCATCCCACCCTTCTAATTTCTATCATTTATGTCTTTTAGGTCAACCATTTCATTTGTGTCCCTTCTAACATTCATGTATTTGTACATCTCCTCAAGTGATCACCATTTTTTTTTTTTATTTTGAAATAGTGATCACCGTATGTAAAATAAATCATGTCGAGTTAATCTGGTTCAATGACCAGCTGGTCTTCTTACCCGTTTTGCTAAAAATGAATCTACATGATTACCTCTAACTAAAGAAAAAAAATACCATGATTAGGATTATGAAATAATATTAGTGATGCAAAATAGGGCACAATGTTAAAGAATCAGCACCAAATCATATAAAAGCCTGTTTTGAGATTTAAAATTTAGACGTGTTTGTAGCTTGATCTATTGTCAATATTTTTATTTTATTTATTTTTTTAAAAAAACTTTCCTTTAGTTATTATCATTGACTTAATTTTAATTATTTTCCTTTCTTAAACATATTTAATTTTGATTGGAGTGTAATTAATTACTTTTTTTTTTACAAACACATTCTTTTTAATAGTGTTTGATTTTGATTGAATTGTTTTTTTTTTTTTTTTTGAAAACAGGATGAAATAAAACAAAATCTAAAACATATTACAAACTGCATGTGACGTGGTGTAGCCATTTAATAACTTCTTTATTGCAAACTTAATAGATAAGAAAAATATATACGAACTTAACTATTTTGTTAAAAAATAATCATTAAAAAACAAAAATATTTTGTAAAAAATGCAAATATTTTGTGTATAAATAGGATATGTGTTATTGGGTTTTTTCATTTGGTAATGAGCTCATGTGCACATATTTCTTCTCTTATCTGTCTCTTTATCTTCTTCATCTTCTCAAATTGTTGTTCTATTACATGAACATGTAATATTTTTATTTCTTTTGCAGCTTTGTTGTAGAACAAAGTTGACGGGATGATTTGGAATCACTGGAATATATGCTCTTTGGGCACCATCTCAAAATTTAACACTGTAAAAATTTTTCATTTTTCTTAAAGTCCTTCTATTTTCTATCTTTAATGTCTGCAAAAGACATTAAATGAGCTGTCTGCCACCAAAAAGTTTCCAAAAGTTTTCCCACCATTACAAAGTTAAAAATTCAAAATTCAAATTTAAACATAAATTTGAAATTTAAAAAAGTTGAGTTATTATTAATTTGGAAATTCCAATGTAAAAAGAAATGCGATATTAAATGAGTTATCTGCCACAAAAATTTGCTCACATAATTTTCCATTTAATTTATTTCCAAATTTCAAATTTATTTTACAATATTTATTTTATGCCGCATTAATAGCGCTAACAATTACACATGCAAAAAATAGTGGGATATACAACAAAAGTAACAGGTCTTTTTTACTCATAATATACAACAAAAGAAAAGTAGTGAGACATTAAATGAGTTATCTGCCACTAGAAATTTTCCAAAAGTTTTTGTACCATTACAAAGTTAAAAATTCAAAATTTAAATTTAAACATAAATTCAAAATTTAAAAGAATTGAGTTATTATTAATTTGAAAATTCCAATGTAGAAAGCAGTGAGACATTGAATGTGTTGTTTGCCATCATAAATTGTTCACTTAAATTTCCATTTATTTTATTTAGATTTATAGATTAAATTTTATATTTTTTTAATTTCAACTATTTACTAAAGGAGGAAAGTTTTCAAATGACATGTAGTGTGAACATATATAGATAATAAATTTAAATTTAATATAAAATATAAATGATATGAAAAAATATTTAAAATTTTAAAAATATGTGTATAGTTGTTAAAAATATATTAAATTTAAATGCAAAAAATAAATAAGAAATGACATATTTATACTATAAAAGAAAATAAAAAAATTTAACTTAAAAAAGTAATACAAAAAGAGACAAAAATTTGAACAAGTATTTTTTAAAAAAATCAATTAACATAAATATTTTAAATATATATATATGTATATCTAATCTAAAAATTACAAATTAAAAGATAAAAAATTAATTTTTTGAATAATATGTATAGTAAATAAAAAATTTACATCTATCATTCTGTAAAAAAAAATTATAAAAATTTAATAACGATAAAAATGAATGACCATTTAGAGACCAATGACTATCCAATTCCTGCATCGTAAAAAGATGTTTGTCATTAAGTATTTTACAGACTATTTTAATGTTTCTTATTACTTTTCGAATGGAAAATTGTTAAGCCTATTAATAATATTATTTATTATATCTATGGGATGAGGGAACATTTAATGTGTATAATTCAAACTTTTTAAATTTAAATTTTGAACTTGATAGGTGATAAAAGAGTATAAAGCAAAAATTAGAATTATCAAAAATTGGAATTTGATTAAACAGAGTATAAAGAAAATAAATGATTACACATGTAAAATAGTTAATTTATAATAAAAATTTAAGGTGCTAAAATTAAAATTTAATAAACCTTAGTATAAAGGAAATAAATTTAGAATATACTACCTATTTAATCTTACGTTATAATATATATTATATATGCGTGTAAGCGCGCGTTTAATATTTTATAATATATAAAATCATAAAACATGTGTCAATCACCTGATATGATACTATTTTATGAAAAAATAAAATAAAATTTAAGCTAAAAGTGTGTTAGCACACTTGATATCAAGTTAGAATACCAAATTTTAATAATGATTTGAATTCTTCAATTTATCTTTTTTTTAATGTGTAATAGAGATTTTTTTCTTTCAACAAAATTTTGTTTGCTAAAAAAAAAAAAATTATTGTATTATAAAACAGGTCCTAACAATGACCGTGTTTCTAATATATATATAGGGATAGGATATTGTGACAC